ACAGAAATATATTTGAGACAGATAAACAGTCTTCAAACCTTTCAAAGACCTTCAGAAAATGGCATTTAAAATGCTTTAGGGTTTTTCTTGACAATGAGAAATGTCTGCTCCGGGCGGCACCAATTATGTCTGAGAGGAAGATGGGCATCGAAGAAACTCGTTATGGAGTTTGCTTTCAACATGGCAAGGTTAGCCATTTGGGCAAGAAACTGCTCTTGCCTAGACTGTTTGACTGTTGCTGTATAAACTGAACATGCAGGACCCACAGGAAAGTGACTGCTGAACTCAGTCTTACAGGGTTCCTGCTTCATGGAAGAGTCTACGAGACTTTCTGTAGGACAAAGAAAAATGACTGACAGACTGCCAATGCAGATGGACAGTTTTGAAATTTCCTGCTTTGCTGAGAAATCTTCTGGACACATTATGGCCTATGGGCTGAAGATGGATGCCCCAACGTTACAGAGGAACTTCAGGTGACTGTCCAGGCAGTAAGATACCTCTGTCAATCCTAGTGTTTATATATTATCCTTCTGTGGTCTTTGATGGAGTTGAAGACAGATAGTTATAATTATAGTTTTCTTTAGTTATGATAAAAGATAAGCTACATATAGAACTTTGGACTCACAAGAATGGGATGGATGATATTTTCTTTAAATCTTGCTAAAATGTTGTAACTATGTTCTTACTTGATAACTCTTCTGCTATATACAATTTGACTATGTTAAAGTTAAGACCTTTCTTTTTGTTTAAACAGAAAAGAGGAGATGTTGGGGAAGTCTTATGCCAATAAAGCACTGTCTGGCCAATAGGGAATCTAGATAGGAGGGACTAGGAGTCCAGGAGGACTCTGGGAAGGAGAAACACGAGAGAGTCCACATGTAACCGCCAAGGGGTAGGAGCCTGGAACTATTCTCCGGTAAGAGACATACTTCGATTAACAATTATGGGGTAATTACTTAAAGCAGAGCTAGCCAGTAAGAGACAAGCAAGGCCAACAGCTTCATAATTAATATAGCCTCCTGTGTGTTTATTTGGGGACTACAAAGCGGCAGAGCCCAGGCGACTGGCGGGGATAAACCGAAGCGGCTAGCAAGGAAAAGCTGCCCCTTAACAAACAAAGAAGACTCTAGGAGGAATTCTATATCTCCATGGGAGGAGAAATAAAAGAAACTTTTGTGGGTACACTGTTGGTGGGTGGGGATAAGAACATGAGGGGTATGAATGAAGAGGAAGAGTACTGAAAGAGAAGAATGGAATGGGGGAGGCATTTTGGTATGCAGTTGAAACCTGGTGCAAGGGACGCTCCCAGGAATCTACAAGGATAACCCCAGATAAGACATCAAAGCAATAACCTTTGATCTGCACTCTGTTCTGCCTATGGGATAAAAGGGTGGTACAGATATTGTGAGATTAGCCAATAAATGACTGTTTCAGCCTCAGACCAATGCCAAGAGAGTGAGTCTACCCTTGACACTGCTTGGAGCTCCAGTACCCAGAAGCTAGATGGTCCAGAGTCCTAGGATAGAACCAAATGTAAATAGAGAAAAAATGTCAATGGAATGATGGCTAATGATATTCTGCTATACTCATAGATTGTTGCTTAGCTCAATTCTCATCAGAGAGGTTTCGCCTAGAAACCGATGGAAACAGATGCAGAGAACCATGACCAAACATTAGGCTGAGCTCAGAGAATCCTGTGGAAAAGAAGGAGTAAGCATTGTAGGAGCAAGAGGAGTTGAAGACTTCACAAGAAAACCCACGGAATCAACTAACCTAGACTCAGGAGCTCACAGACACTGAACCAACAACCAGGGAGCCTGCACGGGACTGACCTAAGCCCTCTGTGTATATATAACAGTTGTATAGCTTGCTCCTCTTGTGAGACCACTAACAGTAGGTGCAGGGGCTGTCTTTGACTCTTGTGCTGGCTTTTGGCACCCAATTCCTCATATTGGGGAGCATTGCACAGCCTTAATACAATGGGAGGTGCTTGATCTTAATGAAACTTGATATGCCATATTTTGTTTACATTCATGGGAGGGCAGCCCATATTTGAATAGAAATGGAGGAAGATAGGAGCAGGGCTGAAGTATGGAGAGGAACTGGAAGAAGAGAAGGGAGGGGAAACATTGGTCGGGATGAAAAACAAATTAAAATTTTAAAAATAAGCCGTTGTACTCCAATCACTTTTTCTAAGCCACAGTGTTCACATCTGGTCTCTACTACAAGTTGCTAATATTTTCTATTATTGTGGTATAAAACTTTAAAGCAAAATGAAAGACAGTATATATTTGTATATCATATGGTTTCTGTCACAATTGTCTTTGTTATTGGAGCATATAGATTTATTTAGCTAATATGTAAGTTATTGGATTTAGACTCCTTCTTATAAAACTTTAGCATGAATCAGAAAAAATAATCTTCCAAAACCAGATTGGGTGATGTTGTAAAAGTCAGTATGCTTATTTAGGGAAATTCTGGACCATATAATTATAATCATGGGTTTTGAAATTAAAATTTTACTGGTGGATTATAAAACTGAAACCACCAAAATCAGCAACATTCAAGTCATGCTTTTTGGTTTGTCCCTCTAATTGTTGCTGTCACCTTGTTCTGCCTTTATTGTTATTGTTTTTTGTTGTTGTTGTTGTTGTTGTTGTTACCAGGTCCCTCAAGGTAGTCTTAGCTATCCTGGAGTTTGCTATATAGACCAGTATGGCCTAAAACTCAGGCAGACCTGTAGTCAGATTTTTCTTTGAACTTCTAGATCATGAAAAATGACATGGAGACTTATTATTAATTATGAAAGCTTGGCCCTAGCTTAGGCTTGTTGCACTAGCTCTTATAACTTAAAATGACCCATTTGTTTTAATCTATATTCTGTTGAGTTGCTTGTTAACTCATCTCTTTGTACTGCTCATATCACTTCTTCCATATCTGGCTACCAACTAGGCCTTCTTATTCTCAAAGTTCTCTATCTCTGTCTGGAAGTCCTCCCTATACCTCTTGTCTGGCTATTGGATATTCAGCCTTTTGTTACACTAATCAGCAATACATTTTCACACCGTGTGCAAATATCCTACCACACAGATCCTCCTACTTCTGTGTCGTGGATACTGGAATTAAGGGTGTGTATGACCACACACAGCTTGTCATTCTAATTTAACACACAGTTATTGAATTTGGCTAGAGACCAATCACTGAGCCTTTGAAGGAATCTTTTGAGAAATGCTCGCTGCATTCATTCAACAACATATTTTTGGTGCCTAACCTAAAAGGAGGTAGTTTCTAATAAGTCTCATGAACCCTTCTCTAGGCACCAGGCAGAGAAGAATATATAAAGCACATCCCCCATCCCTTTCAAATGTCTCGTCATAATTTCTTTGATTCCAAATGACAAAGATCATGTCTAATCCAGAGGAAATAGTTACACAATACCTTGCAAGGGATCTACCCTCAATGGGAAGAAAAACTAGATTATCCTTTGTCTCCATTCCAATACAGGAGATACAAGTGGAGGCAGCCTCAAAGGTAGAATAACATGTAATTGATGGTAAAGACAAGTAGAATGATTATTTAATAAACCTTGCTTTTAATTTACTGTTAAAAGCAATGTTTCTGTCCAACAACAATATCCAGCAAACATAATCTGGACAAGCTGATTCATAGCTCTGGAGAGAAGCGTAGGAGGGTTTCTAAACTCTTTCCACAAGTAAATCCTCAGGAATGCACCACTCAGGTGCTCATCTTGTAAAGTTTTATCAGCGTTGGTGAAGGGACCTGGAGAGCATCCCAGCTAACCTGTCAGAAACAACTGGGAAAAGCATCAAAAAATTACCTTTTCAGTTGTCAGCCCAAGAATCATCCATACTTCAACTGCAGATATCCAACTGTTCATACAAACACAGCAACTATGCAACACCCTTGGCACAGAGCCAGAGATGACCCACCTCTCAGAATGGCAATGAGGAATTCCACATTCAGAAGAAACATTGTTGGGAAGACATCCATAAGCCCATCAGAATAGCCTGATTTTTGTGATAAATGTTCTGACTCTAAAATACAAGTAAAGGCTTTTTCACAGGACCTAGTCTAGGGAAAACCAATATTATGTGACTTTTGTAAGTATATTTATCTGTTATATCCCATTTAATTTCACCATGAGAAACAATGGCTTTAACCTTTGACATATGGCCCCTAACAAGTAGCATGATTTCACTTCTCAATTTTGTAACATAGTGAGTAAAATCATGTATTGTATGATTCAAGAGTCCTGAGTGTGACACGTCCCTACTACACATGTAAGCTACCATTTTAATTTTTTTAATTTTTATTAAATTCATGTGTGTTTGTGTGTGATGGGGAGGGAGAGAGAGAGAGAAGGGGAGTACGTGAATGTGCCATGGCAGTGATGTCAGAGGTCAGAGAGACATGCTGTGGTCAATTTTCTCCTTCTGCCCTATGGGTCCCAGAAGTGAACTCAGTTCAACAGGCTTAGTAGCAAGCACCTTTACCCACTGAGCTACCTTGCTGACTGTGAGAAACAAGACCTCATTTTGAATAACAGGCTCAAAAGAAAAGTCAGAGTATATAACACCATGTTTTATAGCCCTGCAGAACCAATGCCACCCCCAAAACAAAAGGCAAAACTAGCAAACACACTATTTGGAGCAAAAAAAGGTGATATTTGTATTCCTGATTGCATTTCTATGTCCAACTTATTACTGAGTAGCTGAGTTTTCCAGGGAGGTGCAGTCTTCATAGTGTCTATTATACATGTTTTTCCCTAAAATTCCCCAATAGGATGGGGAATTTAGGGGAAAATCTTATCTGGGATTTCCCTGGGGCTCAAGATCCCACACCCTCTCCCTGATACATGGACTCCATCGTATAGCCAATTTTCTGTAACTTTTTGACACTAAAGTTAACTGAAATGCGCCCAGGCAAGCAGATGTGGCCTGATATCCAGGGAATACAGGAGCCCGTCGCCTCCTCCTTACCTGTGGCTGTTTGATGTACATCCATGAGCCTCACAGTGAATATGGCCCGTAGTGATTTATTTCTTAGACTGACCTCCACAATATTTTTTCTGAAAATATTTCAATGAAAAAAATCCACTGGAAAAAATGAAAGGATAATCCGTAGTCAGGGAGGAACTATTTATAAAAGATTTAACAGAGGACTGTGGTGAAAATACACAAATAACTCTTAAAACGCATCAAAGAAAATGGTCTCCACAACTTTAATACTTTCCAAGTGCTTTAACAGACACCTCATCAAAACAGACACGTGGATGAAAAATAAGTATATGAAAAAGAACTTCACATCAAGTACCATAAGGAACATGCAAACAAAACAACAGTTAGAGGCCAGGATCCACCCATTAGAAAAGCTGAAGTCCAAAGCAGCAAATGCTGATAAGGATGCAGAAAAGTACGCTCACTGGTGACAACAATGTAAAAGGTCTTGCACACTGTGGAAGACTGTCTGGCAGTTTAATATAGATCAAATTCTACTAAAAGGGAGTCAAAGGGCCCCTGCCGTCATCACCTTCTTAGACACCAGTTGACATGTACAAGGATCAATAAATACATAAATGGCATGTTCACTCACTGGCAGTGCCATGGTACCCAGGAAAATTATAAGAAGCTTTTATGGGAGCTATTTCAAACAGTCATAAAAATCTTCAAGATTCTTATGACTCATTTTTAATCCCCAGCCTTCTAGGAAGTGATGAAGAGCCACAGGCTGGGGAGAGTTAAGGAAGCAATTAGAGAGGAACCAATGGCAGAGGGTTAAACTAGCTGTGAATTGAAAGGGTAAACTAGGGACAATAAATACAATTAGCTAGTCCTTTCTGGACCACAGATAGACTAACAGCAATCACTATGGCAATAGATCCATCATTCTGTCCTACCTGATGCATATACTAAGGTCTTGGTCAAACAGAACAACTCTTAGAATACCATGAGATCAGACCAAATAACACTACAGTTAAGTACTTCATCCTTGGTTTGCCTGAAAGAGTGGAGCACTGCTTTCATGCCCAAAGCTCTTGTCACCCTAAGGGAAGAACAATTCTATACCATTTGTACTAGTTATGTTTGCCTTGCTGTGGCCAAGGTCCTAGCGAAACAAAGATTGAATCAAGGTATTATTTCATGTCTTGAAGAGATAAAGTCCCCATGGAATAAACTGCACCCCAAAAGCCATCTGCATGCTGCTTGGACTCCAACATGCCATCTCAGCAGAACAAGAAGCAGAAACAAGACAGGAAGTGGAGCAAGACTTGAAACTTCAAGGTCCACCCCAGTGATCCACTCCCCCCTGTAAGGCTCCTCCTAAAGGTTTCGTTCCCTCTCAACACAGCCACCACCAGGGGACCAAGTATTCAAATACTTGATCCTAGAGGAGATATCGCCCATTTGACTCAGATCATTCTTCACTAAAAACTACAGAACACATGGGCCAGTAAGACAGCTCAGTGGATAAAGGCACTTGCTTCCAGCACTGATGACCCGACGTCCATCACCGATCTCATACAGTGGAAAGAAAGAACCCTGACCTCCATTGCTTGTTTTTTTTAGATATATTACCTTTGTCTCATATTCACTCATAGTCCTGGTCATTCAAATTGCTTCTAATTTTTTTATTTATCAGTACAATTTCTATCAATTACAATAGGACAGAAATCTTACTTTTTGTAATTCTTTGAAAATTGTCTTCAAAAAATAATAGAAAGTACAAAAACGAAAGGTTCTTGGCTACTAGGCTTGCCTCATCTCCTGGTGCACTCACCGTGTTATCTTTTTGGTTATCTGCCATTTAAAACTGTCTTTCCAGCTCCTCTTCCATCTCCTTCCTTGGACATGTTCCCTGCAGCTCCCAGCACTCTCCCTCGATCACACCAATAAACTGCCCTCAAGTCAATCTGTTAGTCCATTTTATCGAATTTAATTGAATGTTGTGAAAATGTAGGATCTAGGAACGTAGATCATTATTGGTAAGGCATTTGTGTAGTGTGTTTCAATGCTTGGCTCCTATTCCCAGCATTAAGGACAAGACAGAGAAATATTACTGATAAAGAAAGGGAATTTGTGCCGGGCATTGGTGGCACACACCTTTAATCCCAGCACTTAGGAGGCAGAGGCAGGCGGATCTCTGTGAGTTCAAGGCCAGTTTGGTCTACAGAGCGAGTTCCAGGACAACCTCCAAAACAATACAGAGAAATCCTGTCTCAAAAAAAACAGAAAAAAAGAAAGAGTTCCATGCTTGAGTTGTGTCAGTAGCAGCTTACACTGTGTGTATTGGTTTAGAAATGTTATTTAAGTGTCCCATAACCCTTCTGGGCAGTGAGGTGGAAGAGTTTGCTTAAGAAAAAAAGAAAACTAAAGTTCCCTCTGAAAATTTCTTTGCAAAATCAGTGAAGACAGGGCAACACAGGCATGCAAAGTTGATTTCTTAAGCCCACCGAATCACAGACGAGAATCGAGAATGTTTGTAGGCTTTTACCAATGGCACAACTGTTCATGGCCTCAGTCTCTGTACACATCAGAGAAGATAGCAGTCTCATTCACTTCTTCAAGGGAAAGCACTATCCTGGAGGTAGAAATGGACACCTCCAGACATGTTTGTTCACCCTGGTCCTCTGAAATTCAACCCACGTGCCAGCAACCTTTACTAAATTCTATTCCCACTGATGAGTCTTCTGACTTTGACTATCTTCCAAAGTAGCTGGCCTAAGAGACCAGGAGCTTTAGCCAATACAATCTGCTTTGCTTCACCATGACCTTCTTAAGCAGCTTCCCCAATCCACAGATTTTTCAGGCTCGTTTATAGGTTGATCCTCAGGAAATGGTGAGCAAGTCTGTCCCCCTCACCCCAGCAAAAAAAAAAAAAAAAAGAAAAGAAAAGAAAGAAAATCCCAATATCTTCTGCACAGTGGTGGTGCATGCCTTTAACCATAAGCAGAGGCAGAGGCAGAGACAGCTAGATCTCTGAATTCGAGGCCAGCCTGGTCTACAGAGCAAGTTCCAGAACAGCCAGGGATAAATAAAGAAACCCTGTCTTGAAAAAAATAAAAGTCCTATGATCTGTGAGTTCTGGAAAACTCCACACAAGAAACACTTTCTCTCTAATATCTGGCCACTCCCCTGTCTGTATCTTACTTTATTGAGAAAGCTAAAGCTCAGACTTAAATTCCTTGGCTATAGCCACTTGGTTAGCATAATTACAGACTGAGCTTCTGAGTCCTGTAAAGTCCAAGGGACTCTGTCTAATGAGACTCAAACATCAGTGTTTTACTCATCTATTGCTGCCTATCAAAGTTCAAAAGTCATTGTTTTAAAACAATGCTGGTATTAATTTTGTCCACTGAATTATACTTAAATAAATGTTGTCTTGAGGCACACAGACTTGAGGCCCAGGCTTGAGGCTAGTCAGTTCCCCTTCTGCAGTAATAAAGATGTACTGTTAGTCAAAGCTCCACATCATGCCTCTTGGCTTGCACGGACAGAGATCAACCACAAGCCTCTCGTACCAGGCAGTTGGCACCACTGTGGTGAGTGAGTATACAGCAATGGGGAAATGAGAGAGAGTTAGTACAGTTCATGTGCTGGGGAGAGAGGTGGATCTGCGAGGATGAGAGTAGTGAAGAATGGGCTGACATGGACATCCTGCTTGCTACTCAGGTCCAAGGCTCATCTCAAGGGCCATGTCTGAATGTAGTGATATATTATTTATGATTTATTAAAGCATCACTGAGGATTCAGAAAAGCAAAGTCACCCTCAAGCCATAGAATCCAGGCAGTGATGATACACATTTTAAATCCAACAGCCAAAAGCTAGGAGGTTGTGGTACACACCTTTATTCCTAGGACTCAGGATTAAGAGGTAGACAGATCTCTGTGAGTGAAAGGCCACCCAGATCTATACAAGATTGAATCAGTCTAAAAGAGAATTGTAGCTCACACCTTTAATGTCAGCACTAGAGGGGTATAAAAGACAGGATCAAGTATGCAGAGAGGTATTCATCCTCCAGTCATGCTGAGGGGAGGTTACAGTCTGAGACGTGGTGAGAGCTCGTGCAGACTAGATCAACCCATTCAGCCTGAGGTAGAGGTAAGAAGCTAGTGGCCGGCTGCTTTGCTTTTCTGATACTCACATTGAAGTTTGAATCCCAATATCAGTCTCTGTATCTTTCATTTTTCCTGCAATATCTGGATCTGTGGTCCTGGGGTCTGTGTTGATGTCTGTGGCCTCTGTTACCTCTGAGGGCTCTGTGGATGCCCAGAGCCTGGGTAGCCACCTGTGACCATGTTGGTGTCAGAGGAATGTGCCCACATAGGGGACATGCCAACCTGGAAGGTCTGTGCTGCCACCCGAGACCATGGGGCCATGCTGATCTAGGATGCCTGCACAGCCACCTGGGACAGTGGTGATGTTCAGACCTGAACTTCTGCTGAGGGTCATGTCCACATCAACGGCCCTGCTGTGGCTTCACTCTCTGTTGCCGTCTATGGCTCTATCATCACTGAAAGTCATGTAAAGGTCCATAGTCTGGCCAACGCCTGAAGCCATGTTAGTCTTTGAGGGTCAGGCTGCCACCAGGGCTATACAGATCTGAGTGGCCGAGTGGCCTATGCCGACTCCCTGGAACACAGTGTCATGTAGACCTGAAGTGGGCTTGAGGACCATATCTGGGTCCATGGTTTTACCACAACCAGGATCTGTGTTGGTGTGCTTAACTCCTGTTACTATTGAAGGTCAAGCATATGACCAGGGTCTGAGCTGCCACCTAGAGACATGATAGCATTTGGGGGCCTTGATGATCCTGGAACCATGCCAGCCTGGGCAACCTGCAGTGCCAGCTAGAGTCATGATAATGTCTGGGCACAGGCTGCTACGAAGACCATGCCTGGGTATAAAGTCCTTCTGCAGCCTGAGTTTGTGTTGATGTCCACGGTCTATGTTGCTACACAGATGCCCAGGATTCTGGGATACTACCTCTGGACATTTTGATATCTGAGGTCTGTGCTGCTGCAGGGTCCATACAAATCTGACTGACTAGTGCTGCTACCTGGAGCCATGCTGTCATCTGGGCCTGGGCTGCCTCCAA